AATGTCCTGCATGTCCATGGCTGTGAAGGACAAAGGACAGGGTTTAACACACAGAGTATTTATCCAGCTTAGCACGTATCCACAGAGTGTGATGCTGCTCAGAGCCGCCTCCAGCTCTCATGTTAAAAATCTTGGTGTTATTTTTGATCAGGACACGTCTTTTGTCCCCCACATTAAAAACGTTACCAGAACCACCTTCCTCCACCTGAGTAATATCACTAAAATTAGAAACATCTAAAAATGATGCAGAAAAACTGGTCCATGCATTTGTCACGTCTAGACTGGATTATTTCAGTGGTTTATTATCTGGATGTCCAAACACTTCTTTAAAAAGTCTTCAGTTGATCCAAAATGTTGCTGGAGTTACTGGGAGAGATCATCTCTCTCCAGTTTTAGCTTCTCTCCACTGGCTCCCTGTCAAATCCAGAATAGAATTCAAAATCCTACTTCTAACCTACAAAGCTCTCAACCACCTAGCTCCATCTTATATTACAGATCTTATTGTTCCATATTTTCCTAACAGAGCACTTCGCTCTCAGACTGCAGGTTTACTTGCGGTTCCTAGAGTTTGCAAAAACAGAATGGGAGGAAGATCTTTCAGTTATCAGGCTCCTCTCTTGTGGAACCAACTTCCAGTTTCTGTCCATGAGGCTGACACATGGTCCAGTTTTAAGACTTTCCTTTTTAATAAATCCTATAGTTAGGGTGGGCTTGGTTTCCTGAGCTGTCCCTTATCCTATGCTGCTATAGGCTTAGACTGCTGGAGGACATACTGACCTCATTGCATCAAATGAATAGTTTGTATTTGTCCAACAAAGTTCAGTCAGGTCATCCGGACAGTTAAATGTTTCGTCCTTCTTCCGAGGAGCCACAAACAAACCGAGTCCCACAAGCAGCGCACTCCCATACTGGACCAACCAGTTTGCTGGTTCTGGGACCTGCCCTCTCCCCCGTCGACTCCTCTGAGGCAGCCATAGCGGTTCAAAATATTAAAGTTCATGCTCAATAATCCAGGTAAAAAATTATTTATTTTTAAACCTGGATTATTGAGCATGAACTTTAATGTTTTAAACGGTTTATAAAATCTGCCTGAAGGTGCAAAATATCCTTGAAGCTTGAAATAAATAAAATTATCCTGTATATTGTAACTAGCACACATTTAATAAAAACAAACTATAGTTTGTGACGTTATGAAATTAAAGATTGTAAGAGAATAACGAGAAACTGGACCATGTAACAGAAAACAAAAGAACATTTAAATAGTTTAAATAAAAATGATTAATTTTAGTCAATGAATGTTTAAACTGAATTAAGATGTTTGAGATTAAAACGCTCCGTTCACATTTTTTCTGTCATTTTGATTTTAGATTTATAAACTCGCTAAATAAAAAAAATAAAACGTGCAAAATAAAAAAAGAAGCGCATCACGTTGCAAACCTTTTACTGCAACCCCAGGAATTAGAACGCACCCTCCACCCCAGCTCTGCCAGCAGAGCCGAGGGAGTCAACAACCCAAACACCCCTCGCCACGCTCGCTCCTCCTGCCAGCACCAGACCAGAGAGGCCGGAAATGAGGCAGACCCATCGTGAAGAGGCGCTCCGATCCGGAGCCACGCCACGGCCGGACCTCCCGGACCACCAGACAGAGCAGGAGGAGCGGAAGGAAGGACGGGAAAGATGCTGCCGAGACAAGACCAGGAGGAACCAGCTCGCTGGAGGAGAGACAAGAAAGGAGGACACAAAGGGAGAGATAGGAGGAGAAAAAAAGAGACGCTGAGGAAAAACTGATGGGAAGAAACGAGTGGATCTGGAATAAAAGTTTGGAAAGAAGAAGTTAGATCTGACTGAAGAATAAAACACAAACGACAGGAAGTAAAAACGTGAATCCAAATAAGAGACGAGAGGAAGTGACAGACAGGAAACGCTTATTAAAAAATGAGGCTGAGCAGCTCGGCCGATGAGCAACAACTCCGATTCTCTCAGCTCAAACTTTCAGTTTGGTTTCAAAATAAAACACTTTGATAAACGTGTTTCTACCTGGTATCTTCAGGTTCAGGTCACACACGCTCCCGATGCTCGCAATCGACGCCGCCTTCTGCCGACGGGTGATGCTCTCACGTATGCGACCCTCGCCAGTCACCCGCACCGTGAACGGACTTCCTGTTGGCAAATAAACGGACGAATCATTTCTGTAAACACGTTTCTCATCGTGTTTCAATAAAGCCATTGGAACGTTAAGACAGCGGCCATAACTTTGATTTAACTGGATAAAAGTGAAGGATTAGCCTCAGACTCCTTCGTAACAAACGTATAATCTGACAGCAGATTATCAGCTGACACGGTTTTTAAAAGAACAGCCACAGATTAATCTCCCGCTGGGATTAACAAGATTAAGGTGAGACGAGGTGCATCACGAAAATAAACTGTCAAATTCATCCGATAAGAGATTTAATCATCATTCGTGATGAACTAGACTTATTTCCTGCTTAGACTCCGGCTGAATGCAGAGAGCTGAATTACATTAGCTAAAGAAGCTAAAACTGAACTGTTAAAGCTAAAAGAAGCAAATATCAGCTGAAAGCTAAAAGTAGTAAATGGAGAGCTAAAATCAAATCCTCGCTAAAACGAACTGTTAGCTAAAAGTAGCAAACAGCAAAAGAAAAGCTTTAAGCTGCATTTGGCCAGCTAAAGGCTTGCTGAAATCTAAAAGTAGCAAACAGCTACCTAAAAGCTAAAATGACGGTAGTAAATGCTGCCTAAAATCTAAAACTAGAAAAATGCTAGCTAAAAAAAAGAGAAAAACCTTAGCTAAAAGCAGTAAAAGGCAAATAAAAACAGGAAAATGCTAGCTAAAAGCTGCAAATAGCCAAGTAAAATGATCAAATGGCTGAAATCAAAGCAAAGTTAAAAACAGCAAAAGACGAGCTTCAAGATGCATGTGGCTAGCTAAAAGCTATTTGTAACGGCTACCTTAAATCTAAAACTGACAAACCGTTAGCTAAAAGCAGCAAATAGCTAAGAAAAATGATCAAAGGGCTGAAATCTAAAAGTGACAAAGGCAAGTTAAAAACGGCAAAAGACGAGCTTCAAGATGCATGTGGCTAGCTAAACGCGGCAAAAGGTTAGCTAAAACCTAAAAGTAGTAACATAGTAGCTAAAAACTAAAAGCAGCAACAGAAGACAAAAACAGAGCCCGCTCGCTGAAGCAGAATTCAAAGAGAACAAAACGTTTCTGAAGGATTTGAGGAGTTCTTGATGGGAAACGTTTGTAAATAAAGTTTAATTTTTCTCAGGAGAAGGAAACTGATCCTTTGTCAAATCGTTGTGATTTCAAAATAAAAGCCTGCTCCTGCCTGGGATGTGTTCCTCAGCGAAGCGGATGGAGACGATGTAGTTCCCCGGTTCTGTTGGGCAGTAGGTGACTTCGCAGGTCCCGTCCTCCAGGTCTTTGGTCTGGATGTCCACTTTACTGGGACCTTCGATGGCCAGAGCCAGACCACCATAACCTGCAGACCACCCAGACAGACCAAACTGTGTTTGAGTAACGGACAACGCTGTGGTTCTGAGACAGTTCTGATGAAAGCCGTGTGGACCCACCGGCGTCCTGCGTGTCCACCACGAAGCTGGCGTCGGTGAAGGTGGTGCCCTGAACGAGGCCGTCGCCGTGAGCTTTAACCCGCGTGGAGTCGCCGATTTCTGACTGGACCACCATGATGGTGATGGGACTGTTGGGGACATGTCGACCATTTTTCAGGATGCTGACCACATGCTCGCCCACCTCCCGGGGGATGAAGGAGATACCTGGAGGACGACGGAGAAAGAAGCAGGAAAGAGTGAGACAAGAAAAAAAAGAGCTAAATAAAAAGGAGCCGGTGCTGTTGTGCGTTACCGATGTGGTTGTTGGCCATCCTCTTCAGCAGGCAGGGCTCGTCGCGTCCCGACGGCGCCCTGATGCTGGCGGTCAACACGCTGAGGTCGCTCTCGTGGATGTCCAGAGAGAAATCTGCCGCCGAGCCCAGTTTGACCTGAGAGCGGCGCTGGTTGTCCTCTGAAAGCAGAAACCTGAAGTTATTTCATCAACTGTTGTGCTTCGTGACGAAACGACAACAGAGCGGAGCTCCATGAAGAAAAGACGCTCGTTTCAAAGAAGGAAACTATAAAAGAGCCAGTTTGGTCCATCTGGGCTACCGTAGTCACACGACTAATACAGATAATTTATTAAAACGCAGAAACTGCAGCATCAGTGCAGTAAAAGATTTTTTTAAATTCACGAGTATCATGCTCCTCTTTGTGTGTGTGTGTGTGTGCACGTGTGTGTGTTCTGACCAATTATTTTGGCGTTGAAGGGGCTGCCGGCGATGTGCTCCTCGTTGTATTTGACCAGGATGTTGTAATCTCCCGGGAGCGTCGGCAGGTAGCTGACGCTGCACGTCCCGTCTTTGTTGTCCACGCAGCTGATCTCGGCTTTGGACGGACCCTCGATGGCCAAGTCCAGACCTCCTGGACAGACGGACGGTTGTTCAGACGGAGCAGCCGAACAAGGCCTTTAAAATCTGCTGCCACTATTTTAACCTAAAAGTTCCAAATTAACCGAAACAATGATCAAATCGAGAAACGCCGAGTGCTAAAATCAAACGGCTGAAAAAGCTGAAACTCCGCTGCAAATGCAGAACAGCTGCTAAAAGAAAAGAGGCCAACAAGAAGTAAATACGACGACTTGTGCAGATGACTGCAGTTACTTTGTGTCGGCTGAGCCGGACGTTACTTCGACTTGAGCTGGTTGAAAACGCTGCTGCTCGCCTGTTAGCAGAAAACCAGTCATCTGCTTTAGAATCACTACACTGGCTCCCAGTTCACTTCTGGATATTCATTTAAAGGTTCTTTTATTTGTTTTTAAATGTCTTCACGGTCTCGCCCCGCAGAACCTGTCCGACCCGCTCCAGATGCACGTTCCCTCAGGTCTGCAGGTCACTTCCTGTTGGTCGTTCCAAAGAGGTCGAGCGTTTTCAGTCGCTGCCCATAAACTGTGGAACGAGCCGCCGACACCAGACAGGACGACTCACTTCCTGTTTGAAAATCTTTGGCTTTTAACTCCGTTTGAGACGTTGGCTTCTACTGGTTTTTGTTTTAGTGCCAGTTCGGTCCATTGTTTTTATTGATATTGTTTGTTTGCTTTTATATGCGTTTTATTGGTGTACAGCACTTTGGCCTCGGATGTTGTTTTTATAGTGCTTAATAAGCAAAGTTATATTGTATCGTAAAAAGTTATTGAGAAGCATAAAAGGCGAGCTAAAGTTAGCAAGTGACCAACCAAAAGAATCTTGAGGCCAATCAAAAAGTATCAAAAGGAAAAAAAGGCTAAAAGTAGCTAAAAGATCTAATCAATAACACCAATAGGAAAAGCTTAAAGTATAAAAAAAAGCTCGCTAAATGTATCAAAGGCAAGCTAAAAGTGGCAAAACACCAGGTTAAAGCAGCTAAAGGTTAGGTAAAAGCAAATAAAGATTATTTAAAAAGTACTAAAAGGCTAGCCAAAAGCTAAAATCATCAAATTTAAGCTAAAAGTAGTAAAATGTAGTGAACAACATTGATAAATAAAATATTGATATTTTAAGGAATATACAGAACAATTAAAGTATCTGTTGTAATGAAATAAAATCGTATGAAACCTTCTGGTCTTGTTTTCTTAAATATGAGGCCCCCCCCCCCCCCCCACAACACCACAATTTGTATTTTGGTCCTCTCGTTAGCTGAAGCACCTTCAGAAGCTTCGTCTGTGAAGACGGTGAAGGTCGACAGCTTGTTGGCGACGCCGTAGCTCAGTCCGGGACCGTAGGCCGTCACATTTGGACTGCTGGCGTGGTTCACGTAGAACTGAAGGGGAGACTCTGAAACACAAACGACGGAGTCACTCCATGTTTTTAAAGACGCCCGTTCGGCTCCAAACTTTAAGCTGTGGTTCTCCTCGAGGACAGCAGGGCGCGACGTTTCACCTCGAGCATCGTTCGTGGTAGTTTCTTCGTTTGCGTCTCACCTGGGATGTGCGTGCCATTATATTTGATGTGCATCTCGTGCAGGCCGGCCTCCGTGGGGGCGTACTGCACCGTCACCGTCCCGTCCAGGTTGTCTGTGATCAGAGGCTGAGCAGGTTTACCTGAAGGCATCAGCACCTCACCTGAGGCAAACAGAAACGAGTCGTTTCTCCTTCATGTTTCATTACAGCCTGCAGGTTGAGGGGTTTCACTCGGACCAGTGAAGTGAACAAACACACCTTCTGTTAACTGGACTTCCTGTTTTTAAACCAACATTTAGGTTTTTAGAGCCCTAAATGATAAAAATTTTTTCTAAAAGGTTTGTCCAAATCGGGCACCCAAAAATTTAATTATCGTATGGAACTTTGCGTTGCTTTGAAATGAACCCTGCTCTGTGAATAACCTTATTTAACACATAAACCCCACATGTAGCACATCTGTAAGGTTTTCAGTCTTCACCTGTGATCTCTCCCTTCCTGAAGGAGAACGGTATCACCATGTCGAACGGTCGGAAGCCGCTGCCGTTCACGCTGCCACCGACTGATTTGTAGTTTTCTGACGTCACCTGGAGGAGACGGAGAGAGATCAACACCAACAGATTCTCTGTGACCCGCATCAGAAGCATCCGAGCCCCGCCCACTCAGAGAGGGGCACCCTGGGAAGTGAAGTGCAGTGAAGCAGGAAGAACACGGTAGTGATGATGAAGATGATGAGACTGTGAGGCAGCCACGGCGATGAAGAGTGCACAAACAAAACCCCAGAAACACGGCGGCACCTTCTGTAGAGCGTCCCAGAAACTGCAGGAGTTTGTTTCATGACATTAGTTTGTTGACGTCCCACCGAATGAGACACGAAGAGAAGCGACGACGCGATGGAGGCAGAGCAGGTGAGCAAACTTTAAAAGAGAGGAGTTAGATTGGAACCTGCAACCGTTCACCTGCAACAGAGAGGAGGGCGCCCCCAGGTGTGTAAAAGTCTTTAAATGGGTCCTGATGTAATCCAGGTCAATAAATCAGAACAAAGTTAAATCAGGTCATCTGGTCCTCTCAGATAAACAAACAAACAAATAAAAATCTGTCCAGATGGCCTGACTTAACTTTTCTGTGATCTTTAACTGGGTGCGTTAATGTTTAACAGAAGTTTTAAACCACCACAGATTCTTTATAAACTTTAAAAGTCTGGAGACGTTTTTCTTTGGACTCTGGCTCGTGGTCCAGGACCAGGACCAGATTATAAATAAGAAAACTGAACGAGTCGAAGACAAAATTAGATTCAGGCCTAATTTAATTTGTTTTTCCAGTTTTACATCAGAGGAACATTACCTGAAAGTCCCATCAACATCAGACCCCCCCAGTGAAGACGTGAAACACGGCCTCAGAAGCGTCAACCTTCGGCTGATCGCCAGATTCTAAAAACTCAAACTTCTGGTCCACAAAACAACGGCACCAAAGACCGGTGATCCAAACTCCCACCAGCTGAAGTAAACATCTCTCCATCCACCGTCTCTCCCAGGTCACTGGTGCCCATATCCAGCAGTCACTGTGCGAAAGGTGGGGTACACCCTGGACACATCACAAGACTATTTCAATTGGCGGGTCAGCGGACGCACGCGGCCGGTGATCCAGTGATCCATCTGAGCTTAACGCAACTTTTTTCTTTTTTTTAACCTCTTTCAACCGGCCGGTTGGACCTGCCTCCTCCTCTACAAGTAGATGAACACAATTTGATATTGTACATTCTTATTTAGTTTTTTTTGTGCTGTATAATTCGCAAAACCCGAGACTGGCCCGCACATTATTATGGTCCGGTCCCGAATCCAGGTCGAGCTGGATTGGGCTCCACATTCGGGTTAGAAATGACAGCTCTAGTATACTGGATACTGGTGGCAGCCATCTTGGATTTTTACGTGGCAGCCTAATTTTTGATAGTGACCTTTCTTCTGTCTAGATGCAGCCACACAACGAAATGGAAGTCAATGGGAACAAAAACTGTTTGAAACAGAACCCGACTTGCAATCACTGATCACAATATAAGTGATTTAATACACGGGCTCAGATTAGAAAGTTTTTGCCAAGTTGTCTTTTGTGTCGACTCGATCCAACACGTGTCCATCCCAGAGTTAGGATTCTTCTTCTTTTATTATTATTTTTTTTAACAAATATAAAATATTCTCTTCAGAATAACCAGATTCTGCAGAGAAAGAGTTAAAAAAAAAGGAGCCAAAGTCCAAGGAAAAACTCTGAAAGACTCAAAGTCCGGAGAACTTTTATTTTATCTGAAGTAGTTCAGAGTCCAATTAATTATTAATAAACTGAAAATGAACTTTTCCATTTTCATTGTTTAGGGTTGTTGGAACAATTCTCTTCTTTCGTGGTGGTAAAGAAACAAACCGATACCCAGATGTTTAAAATACCTGAAACATCTGATTGTGTGTGTGTTGGTGTGTGTATTTTGGTACCCATGGTTGGAAGCCAGCTCCAGGGGGAGTGGCCTGTTTCTGTGGAGACATCTGCTGTTGCATGATGGGTAGTTCGTCTGTAGCCTGAGGACACGACAGTACAGGTTATTACATCTGACAAAGACCGGCTCGGGGGGTTTCAGAGCTTGGTTACTCCTGGTTTTAAGAAGTTCGGGTCGACGTGTTGGAGGCTCGGCGAAGCCGCTCGTGCATCTTTAAACGTTTAAACAAGTCAACCCGATCATCTAGTCAAATCGAGATGGACTGAAAACAAACTGGTTTTGTAAAGTAAGCAGCCTAAAGCCCACCCGACAGACTTCACGGAGCTCTGCTGGTTCTGGTTCATGTTAACGAGTGGGTCTGTGGACCATTAGTCTGGACTCTCACCATGACTTTGAAGGGGCTGCGCGGGACGTTTTCTCCTCCGAAGCGGACGTAGATGACGTAATTGCCGGGCTCGGGCGCGGTGTAGAAGATGTCGAAGGTGCCGTCCTCGTTCTCCATGACCTCGGCCTCCACCTCGCTCCCGTCGGGCTGAACCACCACGCAGCTCACCTTTCCCTTCCCAGCACCCTTTGTGTTCACCATCAGGCCCAGCTCCTCGCCGATGGTCACGGTTGGACCAACACCAGGACCTGGGAACGCAACGCCTTTAGATTCTCATCTTTATACGTTTTTCTGAAAAGTTGCCGTTTTTCTTTTATTACCTGTGACCGTGCACTTGCTGGCGTCTCCGGTTGCCGTGGCACGGACTCTGTAGGGCGACGCAGGAATGTCGTCACCGCCGTATTTTATGACGATGGTGTAGCGGCCGGCGCGGTCGGGGATGTAGACCACGGTGTAGGTACCGTCACCGTTGTTGTGGATGCTGGGCTGCTTCGGTTTTCCATCTGGATCCTGAAGTTTAAACGTAGGGATTTAGATCCGTTTGATGCATCCCGATCCGTGTGTGTGCACGTTACTGACCGTGATCTGCACGCTCAGCTGGCCCTGACCGGCGTCACTGGCGTCGATGTTGAACTCGACGGGGAAGCTCGCGGGGACGCCGCTGGTCAGCCCGGGGCCGCTGGCTCGCACTTTACTGGCATCGTGAGTCGGAAGAACTCTGAACTTGAAGGGACTGAAGAGACAAAGTTAAAAGAATTAATGTTTTAATGGCGTGAATTCAGTGCGTTAAGTTTCTAAAATCTTTACTCTTGAAATGAACCGTTATTAGAAGCAACAGTTTAATCTTTACAATAAATTCTGATCATCGTTATCACCCATCTGAACATAAATCTAAGTTTACATGCGTCAATTAACATAAATTAAATAAAAAGAGCATTCTTCAAAAGATAACTCGTATCTCTGACATTTGATTCTTCAAATATATATTTTTTATCTAAACCAAAGCATCACCTGTTGACACATTAACAACAAAGTAGGTTTTAATTGAAGCACTTTTATTTCTTGTAGCCATAAATTAATTTTTTTATTAAATATCTGATTTGCAATAAGTCATTAGTAATTAATTAGACTGTTTACAGTAGGGGTGCCCACACCTTTTCATCATGGAGCTTTTTTAAAACGACCAAGTCAAAGTGATCTGCTGTATCCATACCCATCTGCTCACTACAGACTCATGTTCGGGCCGCTGTTTAACAAACCGTTTAATATACCGTATATTTTACATTATTGGTGTTTAGTGTACATCTTAGATCCTTGTATTTTGTTTTATACTTTATATTTTTGCTATTTTCGGGTGTAACTGGGACCTTGGGTACACCATTTCTTTCCACCTCATGTATCACATGTGATGTGAATGACAGAACCTTGAACCTTGAATCTACTTGCTATAAGACCCCGTTTACACGAGAACAACTCTGGAAACTCGAGTGTTTTTCAGTGTTTATTGGGGTAATAAACAAAAAACAAGTGGTTTACACGAAAACGCTGTAGTTTCCATGTCAGTCGTGTTGCCAGATAAAAAACTATTATCTATAATACTGTGGTTTTAAAATGATAGTATGTTGACCTACACTGTCAAATGTTCTGAGTAAAGATATCCTAAGATGTGTGTGTGTGTTGTGTTTGTTGAACATGTGCACAGAAAAGGAAGGAGTAAATAAGACATTTTAAATTTATCTGGCAACCCTGACTCAGCTGCACTCATCGTGCACGCAGTGTCTGCGCAACAGTTACGTCCAAACTGGTGAAGACACCAACGTCTCTTTGGAGCCTGGATTTTATTCGTTTTGCTCCAACAAGCTGAAAAACGGTGAGCAGCACAAAAACACTCTGCTGTCTGACATTTATTACAAGTGTTGTTATTTACTATAAGTGTTGTTATTTATTATAAGTGTTATTTATTATGTGTTATTTATTATAACATATTTATTATAAATGTTATTCATCATAACTGATGTTATTCATCATAACTGTTATTTATCATAACTGTTATTATTTATTATAACTGTTATTTATTATAATTATTATTATAACTGTTATTTATTATAATGGTTATTTATTATAACTGTTATTTATTATAATGGTTATTTATTATAAGTGTCGTTATTTATTATAACTGTTATTATTATAACTGTTATTTATTATAACTGTTATTTATTATAATGGTTATTTATTATACGTGTTGTTATTTATTATAATGGTTATTTATTATAAGTGTTGTTATTTATTATAAGTGTTGTTATTTAT